AAGAAGAAAGCATACCTCCATAATAAACTGCAGTTTGACCACTACTATAATGAGCCAACGCGCCAAAAAGATTCGTGTTGTAAGCCAAAGCAAGTGCGGCCAACAGACCCGGAACTCCCGACGCCATTGAATGAAGAAATAAGAAACCTGGAGGATGCTGAACGCACCAAACCAGCTAAGCGAGATTGATTTTAGAAACCGCCCACCGATTTGGACATCCATGGCACTACCCCAAGAGTCGTGAGTTGCGTGGCCATGCCAATTAAGACCGCAAACCAAGCCAGGTTGTCCCATGCCTGCTTCTCACTCAAGCAGTCATCCCAATCGAGCACCCCACACAACATGAGTATGGATAGGCCTATCATGGCAGCTACAACGCTTGGCATGTTCAGAGCTTGCCTGCAAAAAGAATGGAGTCATTTGTGACACGAAAAAATCCATGTTGTTCTCGAATGAGATTATTATTAGCTATTAAATCTGTTCTTCCAAACATGATCTAAAGGTAAATGTTTTTCCGATGTATGAAAGCAAATGATATGTGATTATTGTGAAGGTGAAAACTATAGAGGGCAAGCTGAAAAAATATATATATATATTTTTTTTTATCTTCATTTTGTTTCTTCGGCCTTAGAAATCGAGTAAGAGTGCACTTAACTACAGGAATCTTATTTGCACGCACAGAAATGCCCCAGTAATTTTAGAATTTTTATTTTCCAATTATTTCATGTTACATTCCGCCCAGTCAGCTTGAACATTCTTCCAGTCTATGTTCAGTTTTGCCACTTAAAAGTTAAGGAACTCCAGGGAAAAAGAAACAGTCTATGATTATACCATTCTTTTTCTTAATCCTGCGGAAAGGAACATTCCTCCAGTCTATGTTCAGTTTTACGTGAGTAGTTAATCATGCTATCAACTTATTATCGTAGATATTAGAAATGCATGTGGCTAAAAATTACTTCAGCGGGCTCCCACCTGAAAAGGCTATCTAAACTTTGTCGTCCTTTTACTTCAACCAAAAGAAGTCATTGCCTTTGAGTGAATCTAAATATATTTTACTTATTTAGTGATAGTTACTGAGGCTATTTCACTCCCCCAACCCTCCCTCTCACCAAAGAATATTAATGAATAGTCTCATTAATTATAGAGGTACAATTGTGAGTAGAAGAACTTAAACATTTGATGGAATATAGAATTCTGCTTACCCAGCTATCCAAAATGCAATAGTGAGGAGCAAGGTTCCAATCAAGATCCACTCGTCCCTCTTCATGGGACCCATCTGTTCCAATTTTTGTTTAGCCAATGTAGGAGCATTTGGAGTGGTTTTCATCTCGGGAGGATATATCTTATATATAATGATTGGAGTCACTAAAAGTGAAATAAGAGCAGGCACACAAGATGCCTTGACCCAAGTGACCCACTGGTTTGAAATTTTGACCCCAAGACTTTCAGCTAATTTGATGCACAACAAGTGCCGCCGTCAGAAAAAGAGCACTTGTGCAGTTGTTACACTAGTAATAAAAAAGTAAAATTATCAGTTACTTGGGACACACAAGTCGTGAAGAGTCCACAACGAAAAGAACGATATTCATGACTGCAATTTAGTAGGAAGAGAAACTTTTCTTGGTGTGAAAATGGTCCCGAGAAAAAACACAAAGATGTCATTGTTCAAGTTACATGATGTGGAATTCGAACACAGTAAAACAATATATATAGAGTGCAGGTTGTTCTGTATAGATTAATGCAGATACAGTGTAACAGACCAGTCCCATCAGAACCACAGAATATAGTTTCACGCCAAATGATTTTCCATCTTGTTACTCATTTATTTCTAAGAGAGACAGAGTGACTGAAGCATTTGAAAGATAAAGTAATAAATCAATGTTGTAAAGAAACTAGCCCTAAAATGAGATACTGTCCAAATCTTACGTCAGCTACTTATGGAAATGAGTTCCATTTGCTAGAATTCACAAAACTATGTCATGAAAGGCAATGTATGATTGGTTAACACTAAACAGTAAGAGCTTTTGTAGTGTATCAACTAAAATTTTAAACTGAATCGGTAATCATTACAAACTGATGATTATTCCTTTCATGCTCTCGAGAGTTCTCCATCACTTTGGTAACTAAGCAGGCATGGACATACGAGATTCCATTCCTACATTTTCTTTACACACTTAAACGTAAACTGGTAATCCAATTTTAAATGACAAATTCGAGGTTACATTAACTTCATTACGAATAGAAGGTAGACAAGGACGTTATTAGGTAGTATAATTTGAATGTTCTGTAAATTTCAGACCTCAACTCAACAAAATCAAGACATATGTCCAAAGAGATACATAGATGATGTCGTCTTACGTCCACAGGAGTTACACAGAGCTGCAGCCTATAAGCTAAAAGTGACACTATATGTTACCAAACTTATTCTGAAAAAAGTTGTCATGAGATCCTGGACTGACATCCACAAAAATTCATGCACCTCCATGTTTCAATAACAAAACTTAATTTATACAGTAATCATTAAAATACTTGGTCTATTTCATGAAGTAACACTTTCTAAGACAATGGGAGTTGGAAAAAAATGGAGAAGGATCGATCATAAACATGTGAATTTGTCTCCATTTTCCCCCAAAAGAGTAACAGAGGTAAAATAATTGGATTTTACTCAACTATTCCATTTAAATGCAACAATAGGTACTAAAATTAACTTGATAGATACCTAAGATACTGTGCAATAAAGTATTTAGATAAAAGAGATATCATGTGAAACTTTTATATCAACCTCACTGAGAAGTTAAGAATGTGACCAGATAATTTTACTTTGAGTTCCAGTCTTAAATTGGAGAAGGCTTGATAGAACCCACAGTAACACGAGGTAGGAGTAGCTTTTTATGTATATAAGAGAACTGTGCAAAATCAGGGAAGGCTAAGAGTTGTTGTCAATAACAAAATTTTCTAGTGACCAACTTACCCACCAAGAGAAAGAGAGAAAGAGATGACCAAGACAAAATCCAATTTCAAATCAGGATTTTTAATTTCCATAGAATATATTGAAGAGCTGATTTGTAGTTAAAACAAGGCGAACCTTTATCTTCTACAACGTCTATTTTTTCCTGGACCAAATTAAGAACCCAATATAGATCTACATTGTACTGATTTGATTTAAAACAGCCATTTCCAACACCTTCAACTCTGAACGGCTCTTATGTCCTATAAAAATGCTTTGACCAGATTCCATGTCCAAGACAAATTCAGCTATAAGCATTCAGAAATAATGTTTTATCAAACTACAAGGCAGACACATGTTCTATACAAGGACAAGTAGTTTGAACATGAATCCAAGCTACCAGTTCCTATGTAATTTACAACATGCTGACTTGCAATACGAACAAAAACATTAGTGCTATTTCACAGACATGCGACTCCTTCATAGAGATACTGTGATCTTTTCAAATAAATATTGGCAATAACCATTTTAAATTGCCCTTTCCACCATAAAAAATGTTACTTTTGTGGGATTGTCCCCACAGCCTGATGATATGCAGAAAATATGGAGGTAAAACCAGCAAGTTTGAGAATCCTATATTTTTGGTTTTAACATCAATGTTGATATAGGTGAAACTTGCAAATTTTCTTGCTGTGCCCAGACTTGGCCATTACTTCATTTGCTCAAAAAGTTGAAAGAAAAAAAGAGTCTTCTGCTAGTCCACCATTTCCATAACCCACACTAAAAAAAATCCTAAAATTGACCACTTTTATCATCACCATTAAACTTTACAGGTAACTTGACCAAGACCCACATATAAACACATATTCACAAATAGTCCAACCTATACCTCAAATTTGGCTCCATCTCGTCTCTATTTCAAGAGGCAAACTCAAGTAACAATTCACCATACGGGTCATGATAGTCTATACAAACCATGGTCCATGAATAATCCATATGAACCGTGAATCTTTCATACAATTTCAAATTCACCACTAACCTCCTATTTCCCCAACTAACAATATGAGGGGAAAAAAAGATTAAGAGAATCTAACCTGGTTGACGTACATTAAAGAACCTTTCATTCACATGGCAATAATTAAGCATTCAGCACAAGAAAATTCCAAAAAGGGGAAAAGAAAAAATGCAGAGATATAATTACCTGATTTTGGGACTGAATTAGAAAAGCTCCGAGCTTCCTAGACGACGGATCCTTGGGCTTACTCTCGGCACCCAGAGCCAAAGACTTAATAATCGGCAGGAAAACACCACCGGCCCTCGCCGTCGAGCTCGGCATCCCCGGCGAAATCGCGAGTTCCCCCAGAACCAGGCCGCACGACAACCCCAGCGTGCTCTTCCCGAGCCACCTCACGAAAAACATGGCGACCCTATCCCCGAGCCCCGTCTTCACGAATCCCTGGGAGAGGAAGAACGAGGCGACAATCAGCCATATGACCTCGTTGGTGAAGGCGGAGAAGGCCGCGGCGAAGGTGAGGGTCTTCGTCACGACGGTGAGGGTCAGGCAGACGAACGCCCACGCGCCGACGGGGAGAGGGCTGAGGATGAGACCGGCCACGGTGGCGATGAAGATGGAGAGGAGGGACCAGGCTTTGGGGTCGAGGGCGGCGGGCCTGGGGACGGCGAATTGGAGGAGGAGGCCGACGGCGGCGGAGGCGAGGAGCGGAAGGGGCCTCACGCCGCTCCAGCGGAAGCGGCGGCGGAAGGAGGGGGAGGTGTGGGAAGGGAGGTCGAGGCGGCGGGAGGAGGCGGGGTTCGCCATTGCCGGTGGTGCTTGGGGCCGTTAGAAATTGGGGCCGGGCACGCTGAAAGTGCGAGTACTTATTGAGAGAGGGAAGAAGAATGCATGGAGCATCATCATCATATGCCAACTTTAGTTTAAGGGATGGATGAATCACATTACTTTTCCTCTTTTTATCGAAGGGAGATTTTCTCCCATTCAAATAGTGATTGGATATAAATTTTCTTTTATCAACACAATAGGGAAAAAAAAAATCGATCATTACGATATTTTTCAATAAAATCACATTGTTCACACTTTTTTTTAAAATATCAATTATATATAATTATTATTTTATTTTATTATTATCATATGACATCAATCCTAATTACTGCATTTTATCCTATATTCATTTAATTTCTTATATTCATTTGCAAATTTAAAGTACTTCACTCTTCCACCCAAATTTTGTTCATATTTTTTTCATCAATTTTCTTTTGAGATTTTTTTTATACTAGTACGAATCCCGTGCAATGCACGGGTAAGAAATATTCATTAATATTTATAAATTAAAATTTTTTATTAAATAATATTTATAAATTATAAACATAGAATCAATATGTAATACAATGTACATATATTAATTTATTATAAATGTTATATAATATTTAAATTTTGTAAAATTACATAAAAAGTATATTTAAAATTAGTAAAACTCGTGCGTTGCACATAACTGATAATAAATTACATTAAATTCGTTTCAAATCATGTGTCATTTTAAAATTTTTATTTAGAAATTCGATTGGACTATAACGTGCTTCCATAAAATAATTATTTTGGTAAAACTTTATCCTATATTTAAAAACCTATGTGGATAATAAGTATAAATATAAAACTTATATTGTTTTATTAACTAAAATAAATTTATTTTTGTATAAAATATCCAAATCAAAAAAATTAAGTAGTTGAGTAAAATCAATCAGTCATAAGATTTTTTATGCCAAAAAATCGACACTCTTTGTCATGCTAAAAAAAGGAACAATGCAATTCACACAGAAATTATTTGAAATGTCGTAACAAAAAATGAATTAAATTGAGGCCCACTAATTATACAAAAAAAATTGACCAGAGTTTTTCTATAAAAAAGGAACATCGATACATGCACATTACATCAAAATATCCGTTCATATTATTTTGTCAGAGTTACCGTGATTTTATTTTGTTAATTTCATACGAAAAATTGAAATAAATTTGAAATCCATCCCTAAAAACTAATATATTGGCCTACGCATTACAGAAAAAAGTACAACGTGTATTGATTATTTTTTCAACAAATTTCCTACTAAAAAACAATTTCAAATAACCTAAATAAATTTGCTCACTTTATACCATATATTAATTAATTTATTTCCCATAGAAACAACCATCAATATTAAAAATAAAATTGTCCACTTTGTACCATATCTATATATATATAATAAGAATTACCATTTACCAAAAATAGTAGCAAAAAAATAAGTAAGAATTTAATGCAGCCTATAAATAGTAAGTTTTATTATTATTTTTTATTTTTTCTTTAAAAATCATACAACATTAAATGCTACCTTAAATTTCGAAATTTAGTTTATTTTATTATTTAAAAAATTCGGCTAAGATTTATTAAGTGTGTATGTTTTTATTTTTATTTTTTTCTTAGAAACAACGAACAATATTAAAATTTCGGTCTCTATATATATAAAATCTCAATTCAAAATATAACAAAAGTTTTAGAATCTCGGTCTTTATATTTGTGCCTTTAAAAAAAATATTGAACGCTAAATATTATTTAAATTGCAAAATCAATCAGTTAATCTTAGTTTTTTAAAAATTACTATGTTTATTTTTATTAATATGCATAAAATAAAAATAATTAATTCATCTTTAGATATATAATTTATAATCTTAATATACTATCATTTGGTGTAGAAATTTATTATATGAACCATAAAATATTTTTATTTCATAAAATTAAATATATTTAAAGAAAATAAAAAAAAATTATTCGAATCAATCAGGTGATTGAATTAGGGTACTGTATAGGTTGATTGAATTACTTTTAGGTGATATTTAAAATAGTAAAAAAACTTGACACAACTTGGTTGGTCCCAAGTGATTAAGTTATGTATGAGTTCGACCACACCAAATCGATTATTGAACTTAAATATAAATTTTATATTAAAAATATTTTATCACGTGAATGTGATGTAATTCAAACTTCAAATAATCGTATTAACAATACTTTTTATGAAAACATGTTTAATGATTTATGAATATTTATACATCATTTTATTAATATCTATGTGAATTAAATAATATTTTATTATAATATTTATTAATGTACAGTAAATATAAGGTATTCAGAACTGGACCATCATCGAAACGATCAAGCTATTTTATTAAATCATTTGTAGTTTGTTCATATTTTAATTTATAAATATTTTAATATATATAGTACTTTTTGTGATATATATATATATATATATATATATTTTGTGATAAATTTAAATAAAATATGTTACTTAAATATCTAACAATTTATAAATTCAAATGTTTAAACTAATTGATAAATGACTTATAAATCTCTATTTTATTTAAATATGTAATTTTATTTAAAATAATTTTAAATATAACAAAATTTATTTATAAAATCGTATCGATCCTATCAGTCCAACCGACTGGTGTTGACGGATTCGAGAGCAAATATTAAATTCAAGCGAACTAGACTGGTTATAAACCAGTTCTCAGTCCATCCGGTTGGACTGTGTTCAATCCGATTTAATTTTAAAACAATGGATGAATCATGATTAATGTTTTTTATATATTTAATTTATAATACAATCGTAATATTGTTTTTCCGTGCATCGCACGGGCCACGCACTAGTATTAATTAATTAACATAATTTGAGTAATTAAGGTATCTTAAAATATGACTTAGTCACTTCCTTAAATAATGAGCCTCAATTTCTATAAGTGATCATCTAATATATATCATAAATTGTTAAATTAATTTATAAAAATAATACAAAGATTTTTTTTTTAGGGAAATAGTTACTATTTAAAAAATAATCAAACCTTTTATATATATATATATATATATATATAGATATGATTTNAAATCACTATGAAGTACATAACAAAATTGAGTTGAATCAACCAACTCTAGAAAGAAAAACATGGCCACATATAATTTATTAACTCGAAAAGCTAATGAACGTGACATAAAAATAAAAGAAAAAATTACCCTACACCACTCAACATTCTGTTTTTTTTTTTAATGATTATATGACAAATCTTGATCCAGCAATACGATAAAAGATTTTTTTTTTTATTCCGAAAATATCACTGTTTTCACTTTTTTTATAAAATTGATCGATTACTTAATTAATTGAATACAAAAATTGTGATTAATGATATGAGATACCATACCGCTAATTGAATATAAAAAGTATGATAGATGATATGAGATATCATAACGGGTCGACTCGACCCGAAAGACATCTAATTAAACCAGGTGAACTGACAAGTCGACCACAGGACGCCTACTTTAGAGGTCACTGATGTAGCAGGTCGATGGTGACCACTGACGAGGGAGGGTCGAGCTAGCGTCCTTGAATGACTTGGTAGAAACTCGACCTGTGGGTACGCGGGTCGATGGATTGACCTAGAAAACCGTAGGATCGACCTGGAGAACTGTACATAAGCTTAGCACAGATGACACTCTACCTCGAGGTGAATCAGGTCGATTGTATGATTAGACCGTCTTATAGAACAGATTAATGAATAATAAGAAATATTATGAGGATAAGAATCACACGTGGATGGGGCACGTAGTCTAACAAAACCGAGCAGTTCTGGCACTCGGGCGTACGAACGAGCAGTCCGTATATTTGGGCAGCTCATCGGGCAGGCTTGGGCAACAAGATATCACCCCTATTTAAAAGGGTGAGGTATGACAATCCACTACATTCTCATCTACACTGTTGAATCGTCAGAGTGCTAATGCAAGGAACCCTTGTCAACCCATTTTGCAGGTATACAAACACATCAGAATACAGATCACATCGTGCGAACCCGGACAAAAGTCTTTTGCACACCATTTTTTCCGTTTGTGGGAACTTGTTCAAAAAGCCATCACACGACCTCAGCCATGGCAAATGAGTTGGCCCACCGCCGGGATTCTCTGGGTCTTTTTAGACCCCGATGTCTAACCCTGTGGGCTTAGGGAGCTCATTGGCAGCTCTTGTTGCTGTTGGAGGCCTAAACGACCAGGTAGAGGTCATATCGTGTACAAAGGTCGTGGCCTTAGTGCAGGCGCAGCTAGATCTAGTGCAGGTCACGACGATGGGACCACCCAGGAGTGCAACATAGCAAGGAGGCCAACAATTCATTACATTGTCGAAAGACAAGCTGGGAAAGATGATAGCGGATGCAGTCGGAATAGGGTGTACTCAACAGCTCACACAACAGACGTCACAGGCAGCGACCATGACTGTATACATGTGATGACCAAAAGAGAGATGGAGGACAAATTATCAAGCAGCGAAGCCACAAGAGCTCGCAAGATCGACCGATCGAGAAGGTGGCGAAGTAGATCTGACATTTACAAGCGAAGTTAATAGGGAAAGGAGCTGGGAGAGCTTGAGGGCACTCTTTTGCTCGAGAGATTTTGAAGATTGTTCTACCAATACCGATTTCAGATAGGTCAATATCGTGTATGATGGGTCATCTGATCCATCAAGGCATTTGAGAATTGAGATAGTTTGGGAACATGATTGTTTTGTATTGATATCTTCTTATAAGAATTTACAATAAAAATACCTTCTATCACATGTTAATAAATTAATCAAACAAGTGTGAACTTAAATACAAAACCCGAGCATTTATATTCAATAACTACTCTAACTACAAGTAAAATTAATGCATGTTATTGCATACTCTTTGTGATACTTTTCCGTTTTATTTTTATTGATGTAATATTGTTGAATTAGATGACATGACTTTACGGGCGGATCTAGAAATTTTTTTTGGAGGGACTAGAGTTGTAAATCGAACAAAACTGTATGCGAACACAACTCGGTCTGATTAACAAAAACTCGAGCTTAGCTTGTTCTTATACTTAAATAAACTAATTTTTTAGACACTAAATTGACTTTGTGTATTAACTGAGTCG